AACAATATATAGTATACTACAACCTAGTACAACCTATACTAATCATATCCAGTGAAATGGATGTTTCTCTGCAATAAGGCCACAGAAGCTGTGGAGACAGAGAATTGGTCTCTACTCAAAAGACAAGTATGTTTTGAAATTATGTATTATTATTCAGCTATTACATGAAATACAGGAAAAGGTGAAAAAGGGACTAATTCTCATACTAAAAAAAAATTGTAAGCATCTTTAAGGGCTGATTTATTGCCACAGCAAAGAGGGATAACAACTTGAAACACAGAATGGGACTAGTCTACAGAATGTGTGTGATTATTTTGTTGAAGACTGATTTTATAAGTGATCTTCTAAAGCAATCTTCCAAAGAAGATGTGTAAAATACTAAGCATTGAGCACTTTAAATACATTAATGAGGATTTCTTCATCACCACCGTAAGAAAAAAGCAGAGCAATCCCTTTCTGGTTCTTCCTTCTCTGTCTGAACAAGTAAACAGCAAGAAAGGGATGCTATCGGAACCAGAATAGTGAAACTTAATAGAGGAAAGTAAGGACACAGGAAACATGAGTTTTGATATGGAACATGATCAGTGCAATTAAAAAGTGAATTTTGTACTGAGTATCCTGTGCAACATCTTGTGTAGAATTTAGAAATTACTTGGCTAAGGAAGGCCATATTGTGCTTGTTTGCCTCTTTATTTAGATACTCCACGTACTATATGACATTAGGATAAAAAACATGTATATTGTCATGCCATCTGAGAATGAAAATAAAATTAAGTACTTGAAGAAGAAGCAGAGGTAGCCTGGTGAGTTCAGATATCTAATGAATATAGAGAAGAGGGAGACAGACTTTTCATGTACATCTAAAAAAAAAGGGAAAAGAGTCACAAGTTGCAATGTAGGAAATTCTGACGAGAGATAAGGAAAAAAAAAATCATGACATTTACTCAACACTGGAAGAGGTGCCCAGAGAGGAGTTGGAATCTCCATCCTTAGACTCAGAACTGAGCCTAGGGCTCAATAGGCCCTATGGAACTGGATCTAAATGTGAAGTGAGTCCTGCTCTAAGATTTTGGATCAGATGACCTCCAGAGGTATTTCCAACTTAAATTTCTTTACAAGATGTTTGTAATGCTTCTGTATGAAAAACAATATGAAAATGGCCAATGTAACATTGTAATTTCTCCATTTTTCATGCATAGTTTATTATCTTACCTTTTAATTTTTCTAAAAGGATTATACAATTTTAAAAGGTGTGGTTGTCATAAACTGTTTTTATGTAGGTGCATTACTTAAAAGCAAGCAAGTTGTATCTTTTGGAAGATACAGATCTGTCAACAACTAGGTTAAGAGGCCCCCAGCTCCAAACCATGTCTCCTGGAGTACTGAAATCCAACTGATTATTAAAAGGTAGCTGATTCATGAAGTCTTGTATCTATTTTAGATGAAGTTATTTCTTTTCAGTCATATATGTGCGTATTTATAAATATCTACATATATATTCATATACTCTCTTAAGTTAGTAACAAATTAAAAAATATACATTATTGAAAAAACGTTAGTGTGACAATGGCAGATAGAATCTGTACTGGCAGCCATGAAAGAAAGTAAAAGCCAAAGTTCACAAAAAGCAAAAGTTCAAAAAAAAACCATGGATATTCAATGAGATCAGAATGTCAAAATGTTATAGTAAATTTAATTTATCATGAGCAATAAGGACAGAGCATTCAGCATGGAACTACTTTGGTTTCCATTTTTAACAATTCAGTAGATACCTTTGCTCTTTCAGCTGTTATGGTCAATAATACTAAAAAGTTATAATGAACATTACAGTAAATGATACAAGGAATCTAATATTGCTTTTGAGTGTGCATGGTGTAGCATTTTAAGATTTTTTGAACTGTATTGCATGGAAGAGCAATGAATATGACAGATGGAAACAATCTCCAATGCAATTAATTTTGAATAATTAAGGTAGTTCAGCTTTGGAGGTAGATGAATAAAGGGTTCATAGTAAAACATATAGAAGTCTATTATACTTTGGTGAAGAGGTTTGCTTTCTAAAAATCTTCATATGACTAAGTATTTCAAATATTCCATGCTTCTTCCAGAACAATACCTATCAAGTGGCACTGTCCAGACCAGAAAGGAAATACTTGGTCATACAGAAAGAAAAAGTGGTAATTGTTGCTCTAGACAAGGAATAATATATATATTATGATCTTAAATACTGATGCAAATCAAAAGCTTTGTTTTCATAAACATAAAGATGAACTGGAAAGCTAATACCTGTCAAATGTGTAAGTGTACCTGCTTATACCATTCTATGCAATACTTGGAAATCCTGGAAATGCAATGACTATTCAGACCTGGAATGAAATTCTAAGCTTACAGAAAACATTTTTTTTTCTATGACTTTAAAGCAGAACCAGATTTCATTCTATAACTGCCATCTCACTATTTAAAATCAAATGCTTTTGCACTTCTTTCCACTTAAAAACATATATTAAATGTGCATTTTTTAATCATGCTTTTTAACCTAAAAATGCTTATGACTGCAAAGTCTGTTCTGGAATGTGTGTTAAAAACCTACTGGACTAAGGTTTTCAAAAAAGAGATGTTCTAATTTTGAGCCAAACTTTAGTTGACACTGTCCCTTTAAAGTCTAATCTGAAGGACTTCAAAATAGTAAATTGCATGGAACCCAATCTGTTTATCTGAAATGGATGAAAGGGTTTGTGCTCCATCTAGATCTGAACTCTTGGTTCCACAGTGTCTAGGTATTTCAAGCCCAAAGTTCAGACCTTTAAGACGAGTGCCTCTCTCATGAATTCAGTCTTTCCCATGTTAATATCCGTCATTAAAAGGTGAATGAATGCCCTGACTAACTAGGAAAAATACTTTTAAATACTAAATGGTAACTATTATGAAGAGTTTCTATAAAAATCACGACTTCAAACATAATAGGTGATGCTTATCCTGCTTTTACTCATCTTGTACAAATCTCTGAAAAAAAAACTAAGTCACTAATAGACACATTCATTTGTTCCCACACGGCACATAAGAAAACCTCTCTTTCATTTATTACCTTTGTCTCATCCCACTTTCATGGTAATCTGTTTAAGACTACCTTAGCCAACCAAAGTGTGAAATAAATCCAATGTACCCTATAACATAGGCAGCTCCAGTTAATATTGTTCAAATTATTTACATCTGAAGGGCCGCGCCTGTCTGGATAGCTGGGCCCGACGCTTCTCTGGACTTGGTTTCTGCTACTCACATCTGTTTCAGCTTTAGACTTTCACTGGTATTCTGCCAGCAGCCACAACTTTTTAATGGCTACAATAAACTACAGAGACTCATCAAATCTTTGCTGAACGTGTTAAAATTATAACCTCTTCAATTAAAATTTTGATTTAAAAATAAACTGCAGCATTATCTGAAGAGAAAAAAATTGAAAGGGAATGTTTGAAAGAGATACAACATTTTTATATGAGTGACTGCTTCTTTGTTTAAATGTAGGAAAAATTATTCACAGGAATGCTTGTTAGAATCCTGCTGCATATTTCTGAGTGATAAAATACCAACATCTGAAAACATTTCCACAACCTTTTTTGTTTCAAATCTTTGCTGTCATTAACTTTATATGTTAATTGCTTTGGATGGGTTTCAAATACATCTTTACAAAGAAAAATGGTGAAAACAACCTCAACATAAAAAAATTTCTCTGAATATCTAAGAAAACACGTTGAAAGAGAAATCAGTGATTACAGGAAAGCTGCAGTTTTAATTTTTTAAGTTAGTTGAAGTGCTTATCCTACTTTCTGTCTCTCTCTTTGTAATGTAGAACAAATACGATGTGAATGTCACAGCCTCAATGCAGGTCCTGCAAGACTAAGATGCATTACAGCAGGACTACATGCTGAAAAAGTACAAGATCAAACACAGATCATGTTTCTGCACAAACTAGCCCAAAAGAGGGCAGGCCAAGGGTTTTACAGGGCCAAGCGATGAGAGGAGATAGAGCACTCACTTCTGCCCGGGTCGAACAAACAATAACTGATACCTTCCTACCACTGTTAACCTTTGAAACTATCCTAAAGATATTAGTGACCTAATTTAGCCATTTCTAACTGTAACAATAAATTATTTCTAACAGTTTTCATTGCTTCACATTGAAAAATCAGCTTGTTCAACTCTGATTCAAAAAATACTCTTGCATTTTGATGCAGATGTGTTATCTAAATGTAAATGGAGATTTTTATGAGTTTTTATGCAGATTCTGTCCCCAGTGTAATTGCTTCAGTAAAAATAGCAGCTTTGCCTTAGCAAAAATGACAGGCTTGAAATATTCAGTCATCATTCACTGGATTTATTTTTAAGAGTCATATGAAGCACAAAATAAAAATGAAACTGCTTGTAACAGTTAGAGAGCAACCCTTCCGACTTCATATCCACTCAATACCTTGATTGATAGATGAGCTGGGTTTCTGAACCCCTCTTTATAATAAACATTTTTAAATGTTTATTTTATGTCCCAGGATTAAAATATTTTGAACTGGAGCTTTCCATTTCCCTTTGCTGTGCCTTGGCAAGCTGTGTTTTATTTCTACATTAATAGTATTAAACTCTGTCTTGAAGCTGTTAAATTGTTGTTACATGAGTACTGAAGGAAGTATTTATGTTATGGAACTAGCAGGTTATCTACAGTTAAACATACAGTTGTGAAGAAGCCAGAGAAAAATTCACACATTTCTTTAGGGGTCTTTCACTTGTAAAAGGGAATTATAGAAAATTATTTTTCAGTACCTTTACTTTCATTTTTATTAAGTCATGAGTTTGAAATATTTTTTTCTGTTTTATGGGGGTAGTTTGTGCCACAGTGTAAAAACTTCAAATGAATCAACACTATAAACCTAATTAGCAATAAGCAAACCTCATAAAGGTCACATTTTAAATGGCACTTAGTTGTTAGCAGAACAAATTTCAAAGTTCCCAGTTACCTTCTAGGTCTCTCTTCAGTTTCCTTAAGTCTTTTATTAGGTCTTCAAACTTAACTTGGGAGGCCTGGAAAAAATCCTGTGGTTCTGGTAAAGGAAAAATACTCTTGTCTGTTCCTGCTTCCTAAACAAACAAACAAACAAACAGGCCACTATGAAAATTAAATGCATTCAGAGTGAAATAAATTACTTTTTTGAAATGGCATCTATAAAACACTATTAAACAAACAAACAAACATATTTTAAATATTTCTTGCTAAAAGATGATATATATATATAATTTAAGATGAAATCCTGACCAGTCTGAGTATTGAATCTTCCTTTTAGACGCTGTAATGCAAACTGTGCTCAATTTGAACTACGAAGCAACAATTACCTAACATTTTAGGTAATTTTATATCAACAGAAATTTAGATAGCAGATTAGAAGTTTCTTAAAATCAGATAACGTGAATGCCTGTTTCAATAGAGGAAGTGATCTTACGCCAAAAGTTTGTGGCTTCACTCTTTCCCAATGCAATACATATATACACGCTTCATATGGATAAATTGAAAACAATATTTATATATTGCCTGGCGTATTTTATACAGAGAAAAATATATCGTTGAAGGTCTCTGCAGTTCAATAAATATGTTTAATATCTGTATGGAACTCCAAAGCATATACCTAATTTTTAGCACAATAAAAACAAAATAAAAATAAAAAAATAAAAATAAAAGAAATAATAAAAAAATTAAAAAAAAAAATAATAAAGAAAATCCAACAGCTTTAGGAGATTCTAAGCAGGGGAAATTTAACAAGTACAGTGTATAAACAGTACTACAATGACATTATTCTGCCTAACGGTATACTAGTGAGTTTAAACTACTATCTGCACACAGATTTCAGACTGAAATAAAGGAAAGCTCATGGGTTGGAGAACTAACAATTTTGTAAACAGCGAACAAATGATTTCATTATTAGAAAGATATGAACACTCAGGGAAAGAAAAGAGTAGAGTGAAAAAAATTTAAATTGTCTCCACTTCCTCTGAGGAGAAGATAAGCTGTTTTGTTTTTACAGAATTCCCTGAATGAAAACTCTATAGCAGGAACTTTACAGGAACAATAAAAAAAATAAATAAAATTACAGACTAGACAAAATTGCTTTTGTAATGAGATTTTTTTTTTTACAAGACAGGCACCTAGGGTAAAGTAACTTTATTTTCCTGCTTCAGGAAAAAACAAACAAATAAACAAACGAAATCAACAATCCTATTTGTACAGATCTACATATCTGCTAGTTTTCTGTCTTTTCTATAGATCAGCCTCAGGAGCTGTTCCACAATGTCCTGACGTGCAGACCTTCCAGTGCTAGAGATGTCTTCAGTTACTTTAGTCTTACTCCTTGAAAAAATACCTATGACAACATTCTTACATTCTATGTAAGAATTAAAACAAACAAACAAAAAAAAGGAACCAAAAAAAACACCTTTCAATAATAAAAATAAAATAATTAAAAAAAAGAAATAATGTTTATATTCAACTGGGGATAAGGCCAGGAAAAATCATTCTGGTCAATTGGCCAGAACTGACCAGAATTCAAATATCAAACAGAGACATCATCTTAATTTCAAAAATAAGAAATTACATACTTAAAATCAATCAATAGTGACATTTTCATTTGAAGAAAACAGTTCAAATTTTCTACTCCAAAACTTTGGACACATCAATAAGCCCCATAAACACACGTAACTCAAATCAGCAGCCATGCCTCTTCCCACATTCCTTATCTAATTCCACCTCCATTAACTGAGTCACCTATTCTAAAATATCAACCTGTCATTGTATTCTGTCACGAGAGACGTTTGTGATGTTTATTGCTTTTGTCTTGCATTATTATCACATTGAAAAAAAAAAATTTGCTATGTTATAGTAACCAGGTATAAGAAGAAGCGATTAGAGGGATAACCTGTCCAGCCTGCAAGAGTCACACACTGTCTTTGTTGTGTTCCAGAGTTAATGTAAGATTTTCCAAAGCCCTATCACAGAACCTACAGCAAATTTCAGACTTACTGAGGTCCACAGCTACTGTGGTCAAATGGAAAGAAAAAAAAAAAAAAAAAGGCAGATGCAAATCCTTTTACAAAATCTTAAAGAAATCACTTTTAGAGAGGTGTATGGCAAATAAATCTTTTACCTTATCACAATGGCGCAGGTAATATATAACAACATAATCCACAAGATTAATACGATTATCCTAGGGAAAAACAGTAATATATCATTAAAAATGGATTAGGGATACATACAAACATTAAATAAGTAAGTGAAAAATTACTGTATTTTAAAAATGTATTATTTAGTTTTATTGCTGTGAGAAGAAGAATTCAAAATATCATTATTCCTAACATTGCTGACAAAAAAATTATAGAACAATCACAGGTTTGATTATGTTACCACTGGACCTAGACATTCTAAATAGCAGGTACAGAAAACATCCAGTGGGAGAAGCTGCCACTGTACATTTTTTTCATAATACAAGACATTCTTGTATTATATTAACTATATCACTAATAATATTATTAGAATATTATATCATATATGCACTGTAATAATATTATTATGTAATTCTTGAATACAATATTAACTAAAAAAATATAGTGAAATATCTTATATATTTAAGTTAGCTGAAATTCTTGACTTGACCAGTCTCGAGTCACCTACAATGAAGATCTGGAAGGGACAAATGCAATTTTCGTATTTTCCACAAAATACAAAACCAGACAGCATGTACCTAACAAGTATATTTAATCTCCTTTTTGTTTAAAAACATTAATTTTAATGCTGTCTTTGTGGAAACATCATTTCCGTTGGTCCTGCATACAATGAATATATACAATGTTTTATTTTATTGTATGTCATTGGTTCAGCATAGGACATGAACTAAAGGAAAAGGAGAAAACTTTGACTTACACATTACAAGGTACTATTCAACAACAGAAAAGAATTAGAATATAGGGAATTATATCTGGGATCTTTGGGTGTTTTGCTGTTGGTTTTTGTTTGTTTGTTTTAATATATGTATGTTTTTATACCCTATATTGACAAGTATTGGTACAAATGTATGTGAATGCCTGAATTCCTGTACACAGCTGCCTCCCCTATATTACAGCCAAAATACATAATAATAAAATACATAATATTTTATTAATATCAAACACCAGCAAAATTCTTAACTAAGCAAGTGATTGCTATCATGTAGTCAAAACCACTCTGCTTACATAACTATTTCAGAATACATCGCTGGCAGGTTGTGTGACGAAAAAGAATTGAGGTGGCTTATGATTATTTGATTACTCTTCTGAAGTTAAATATGCCTGTTCTATTTTTTATATATTTAGCTATCAAATCTATGACTTTTGTTTAAACGGTATTTCCATTTTTATGAAAAAACACAGAGATTTTGAGGTGGTGAGCTATGATTTTTTTATTTTATTTTATTCATGTTTTTGTAACGAGTAGCTTTCTAGGCTCATCCCTGTGACAACAAATAACCATTACATGAAATAAAAGACATTCAACGTTGACATTTTACCTTAGCTCCTGGAATTTAGCTTACCTAGAAATCATATTGTTTGCTGTCAATTTCCAGAAAGTGAACAACACACAGGACACAGGACACCTTAGTATTCAAATATGCAAGACCCTCCATTCTTCCTCACAAAAACACTCTCCAGTTATCTCTAAGTTTCTATATCTGCCTATAGCAGCTGGCCCCTTTGATATCTTTAATGCATTTTGGAGACTATTTTTTCCTACTTCTTACAGCAATATAAACTAATATATATTTATTTTGGATACCAGAAACTGCTGTAATTTTTTAGCTTGTTTTGTTGAAGAACAAGTCTTATGCAATCATACTGTACATCTGTCACTCCTTTTCATAACTCATAATTTTGCATTGTGTTGACTAAATCCAGCCAAATTGGAAAGTCCCAGAGAAGATTAAATTCTTACAAGTTAATGGTTAGATAGAAAGAGATAAAATTAGTACTTCAACTGAGAAAAGCCAGTCAGAGCTCAGTTGTTTTATGTTTTTCCTCATGGCAGCTAGCTGACCAATGAACACCTGAATACTGGGAAACTGGGCCTAGATTTAGTTTAGCTGCAGCCTGTATTGTGTCTTATCCATGGAGTAGAACTGGAAAAAAGTGGTCATATGGGACAGCTGAACTATTGCAGTGAAGAGGAAAGTAAGAGTTAGGAGACAAAAGACACAAATCCTTTGGAAAATCTTTCATTAAATTCAGTGGCTCACAGAAAAAATTGTTAAATCTTGGCTTTATTCTTTGTTAGTGGTGGCACTCAAATAAAATAAAAAGCTCCCTAGACATTCTGTTTATCTGACATTGCTTGTCTCCCAAACTGAAAACATTCCTATTTACATACAGCTTAACTGGGGAAAAAACAACTGTATTTTCCTTACAATTTAGAACAACACTTCAATTAGGAAAAGAGGAAGCATGTGAGAAAACAGTTTTTCTCTACCTCCAAATCTTTACCAACATCGGTAGAAAATACCTCCTACTCTTTGCTAGTTCTGCTATCCTTACGGCACCTAGGTATGCTTTAGCAGAGAAGTATTTTTGAGTGGTGTTTCCATTGTCTGCATTATCTAGCACCTCAACCTCTACCCTGCTGAAATAAGGATCAAGGTAACCTCATCTCAAAAGGCATGCACAGTGTGTCTGAGCCTTATTTTGTTCCTAGCATGACTAATCAAAAATGGGCTACTGGTTCTCAATTTTTGACAAAAATAATTTACTGCCATCTATGAGCATTTGCTTGTTTATGCCATTCAGAATTCATGCCCTTTATCTGCTTAACTGCCAATTCAAAAAAAGAAGACTGACAGTATCTTGCTGGATCTGACACACTTTTTTGAAGAGGATTAAAATCCTGTAATTTATATATTTAAATACTTTATGTCTAATTCTTTAGTGTACATTCTATGTTGCATTTTTTTTTAAACATGACCTTTAAAGCCTTTTTACTCATATACAGCTACAGTTAAAAGAAGAAAGTACGGGTATATTTACTGGAGAAGACTTCAGTGGTCTGTGATCTCTCATGGCTCTCTACCTACTGTAATTTAGTAAAACTAGTAAAACAGACACACCAAAGTTCTCACAAGAGAAAATTATTTTAGTGGTAGTGAATAGAAGAAATAGGAGATTATGAAGACAAGTGTATAAGTAGAAGAAAGAGGTAAAAAGTGTGGAGGAAAAAGAAGAAAATAGTACAAAGTGCCTCACTCTTTCAAGCAAAGAAATGAGAAATGATTAAGTTTGGACAAATGGTGGAACAGAAAGATATCAGAAAATAAATCTTTAATTAAATAGAGTACTTACTCTGCTTTTGACATCCTTTAGTTTGGGAAGTATTTCCAAACCAAATCCATCAGCTTGACCTCGAGTCCTATTCCCACCATTCATGTAATTTCCAAAAGCCAGAATCAAACCTAAAATTTCCTTTACACTTGTCATGTTCAGCAAAGCCTGGAAAATGGATATTAGTATGAAACATACATTGGCACAAAAAATCTAATTGCTCGTACAACAAAGTTTTTTAGATTTTATTTTTGCTAAAGGAAGTTTTGTTTCTCATGTGCCTCTACAGGGAAAGGAAGCTAAAACTGGTACAGGAATCAAACATTTAAAAGCAGAATTTATTAGACTATAGCTGCCTAAGATACTATCTTTAACTTAATCCACATGAGGTAAATTATATAGCATTATATACTATGTAGATGACAGAAAGATTAATGGAAGAAGTTTTACAGCAGGATATTACTAAATATCCTCAGTAGCCTTTAAAAATCTCACAGACAAAGTGTTTTTTTCATGAGTTTACATAATGCACAGTCAAATGGAGACGTGTTATTTTTGCTGCCACTGGGTTACACTCAGAAAGTCATTATTCAGTCTGCTTCCCATTGGCCCTGGTGCTCTGAAAATTCACATTTCAGAATCTATATATACTTAGTGTAGATATACCAGGGTAAAGGACAAAATTATTATGCCTCAAAAGAAAAAAGAAATCTAGTAACAAAGTGGAGAATTAATAAATTATTTTAATTTCTATATAAAGACACTTATCAATCAAGCTTCTGAGGCCATGAGCCTAATTCTTAACTATGTAGCTTTAAACACATTGAAAAAATCAATTGTCATATGAGGTCCTCTTTAGTAAACTAAAGGTAATGACTCTTCCCCTATCTCATACAAGTTCTTTGTGTCTACTTTGGAAAGGCAATACTGAGTAATTATTTTTCTCAGAATATGCAAAGAATATCCAAAGGAATAGAGTGTGGGTAATTTGTGGCAGCAAAGCTGTTCAAAAGATAAAAAATAACAATAAATAAATAAATAAATAAAACGGCCAGGCTGTTTCAGGACACTATTTAATTTCTCTTTTAATTCTTATTTAATCTTAATTTTAATTCTTACTTCATTTTACTTGTAATATTTTGTTATAATTTCAAAATCTTCTCTTCAGTTATTCATTGTGAAGAAACCTTAGGTAAAGCTTTGTCAGGTACTAGAAATCTGCTCTATCATGGTAACAGAAATATATGGATACCATGGGAAATCAATAAGTTAATGTATGTTATAGGCAGCTACTATACAGTTCACTGTAGAAGTATGTTTACATTGTATTACCAGTACTTTCATGGTGGACAAAGCACATGGTCTCTGATTTGACACAGGCTAAAAGCAAGTTAAGATTGCATAGGGGTATACTAACAAAGTAACTTTGCACGGCCATGGACTATGTTAGTTTGATATTTAATTTCTATTTTATAGACTTTATCTATTTTTCCACTTAATGTGTAAAGTAACCAAAATCTGATGTTCAAGTAAAAATAATTTTTCCTAAGTAGAACATACAGCATCACACACAACTCATCTTCCCTCTTACCACCTGCTCATGTTCTTATAAGCAGTTAAAAATATCAATAAATTTTTATTTCCCTGAAAAGCCAATAACCATGCTTAAGGTTCATCACTTTTGGTAAAAACAATCAAACAAACAAACCCACATAAGCAATCTAAAACACATTATGTTTTTATTTAGTTCCCATTAGGACTTACCTTGGAAACACGAGTAATGATATCAACTTTCCGGTGAACTGATGTTATCCCTTCAGAGAAAACTGACTGGAAGATAATACACTGAGCTCGTTCTGTGAAGTTGGGAATCTGAGATAACTCATATAAAAATCTGGGGGGGGGAAAAAAAAAATATACTAAATGAATCCCTACATTTCACATCCGTGAGGTACATACTGGATCAGAGTTGTAGTGTTATGAAATACATATATAATGCAATATTTCCTACTTTGATTCAAAATTCTGACAGAATTTATAATTGTATACTTTCTCCTCACTGTTCTTTGTGTTCATTGTGTTGAGAAATCCTAATAATATAAAGAAAGATGTAAGACGTTAATTCTTGTAACATTAATCCACTGTCTAGTAGTAAAGAGGAATTACAAGCCAAGATCATAGGTTTAAGAAAAAAAAAAAAAAAAAAAAGCTAGAGAAACGCTATTTAGTGTTTTCACTTGTGTGTTTTTGCTTCAATTTAAAACATGCCCAGCAATACTGAACTCAACATATTCCTACAAAGTTATTTCATAATACAGAACGTCTGCCAAGAAATTTCTTCTGATGCTCAACCTCAATTTTCTTTTACTAATTTGCACCACACTTCCAATTATATAGCAGCATGTCTTATAGTAATGCACCTAGCCGCGTATTTAGCTCTAAAATATTTGCAGATTATATCTCTCTTCAGTCACTGTCAAACAAAGTTACTAACTCTCTAATTGTTCTTTATCTCTTCTCACACTTTCACTTTTCTCATGAGGCTATTCCAGCTTTTTTACTTTAACTCTTTGGTAAATAAAAACAGTTTGGGTATTACAAAATGAAAGCATCCCAAGACACGAATAACTACTTCCTTTTCTTCAATTTAAAATGTAAGAGTTTGGTTAAATAATACAAGAAACTTTAACATTTCTTATAATAACAGGGTTTGCATAATTTGCTTTGTGGGTTTTGAGTCAATGATTCCAGTGCTACACATGTTTTCTTGAAATCTAGAAACAAACTGTCTTTTGCTCCAGTATCACTTTAGTAGAATTCCTCCAATCTCCTGTCTACAGCTATTCTTAGATCCCCTTTAGTATGATGCTTTAAAGATATTTTTTTTTCATGATTGAACTCTGGGACATTTTCTGAATCATTATTAGATTGAATTCTTATTAAATTTATTTTAATTATTTAAACCAATTCATCCGATTTCTTCAAACTATTTCTTTTTTTTTTAATTATTATTATAACTAATACCAGTATCTTTAAACCACCTTTATAAATTTTTCATGCATGCAATGCTTTGCTGAATACATAGCACATGTCTAAAAAATTGGTAACATCCACCTGTGGCTGGTGTGAAATACAACATTCTAATTGGACCATCTTTTTTTTTTTTCTGACTTTTTCTCTCTTGCCTGATGAGAAAATCTATTGTGAGAACAGGACTGGGGAGGCCAGGCTTGGCTCTAGGATTTAAGCAGTGGGAAAAAAAGAAATGCCAAGCTGGTATTAATAAAAATACTTCCTATTGGGAATGAATGGTATTGCCAGGAAAAAAAAAAAAAAAAAAAAAAAAGAGGATACTTTGTGTGCACTTCGTGTGAGAGAAACAAAAGAAAGAAAAACCCCAACTGCTTCACAAAAGTTCTGACATACATACATGTATTTTAAAAGTTTAAATTTAAAATTTCAAATGATACATTTTCTTGCCTTCCCTTGAATGGAGAACTTTTATCCACATTTCTGGTCATCAGAACACAACATAATTGTGCTGATAATTCAAAGAGCTTTAGCATAAAAAGATAATGTCTCCAGATTTTGGAATTCAAAGTATTAGATGTAAATATCCTGACCAAACATTTATAACTGAAATATGTCACAAAGAAGAATTGATCTTAGCAGTTACCAAACAGAATGTCATGGCATCAAAGATAAACCACCCACATTCAGGTGGATGAAGCTCTTTTCAGAGAAAAGTTCAGTCAGTGTTGCTATTTTAAAATGAGGAAAGTATGATTTTGACTTAAAGTTACAATGAGATGACTGTGACATAACTTTATGATGGGTTTCTCATTGCTACACTTCTAATGGCCTAAAGTAAACACAGAGAATTTGCTGTTCATCTGTGTGAGGTCCATTTTACTCCTCTTCTGCAGAAACTATAAATAAAAAATACATTTACTTGAGAACTCTTTTATCCTACCAGAAACTTGTAACAAAGGACTTGAAACTACTTTCAAAATCAGACATATTACCATGTTGTTAGCATAATACAACATTCTTCCAAAAGAGAGTCAAAGAAGGATGGTTCTATGACAGTGAACTATTTATCGGGTCACATTTATCCACATTTGAAGACTATAAAATTTAGATTTATTTTTTTGGGGGGGTTAAAAAGGTGTATCTAATCCTGCAAGCTTCTAAGGAAGCCAGTGGGATTTAACCTGAAGTCAGTGAAAATTATTTGTGTGCAGAAGACAAGCAAATGGCATTGCTTGTACAGAAAGCCTTATTTGCAATTATCAATAGTCCACAACTTCCTGAATTCAAACTATATACAAAACAGAACATTTCAGTAACGTATTTTGCTACCATTTCCTTCATTAGTATTTCTTTCACAGTAGCGAGGACTTCACAGAGATTATATTAAAACTAGAAGGATCCTATTGGAAACTAGCTTAAGCATCTGTATCCTGCTAGCAAAGACTCAAGTTGTGGCCAATTACGCATATAAATCTTTGTTGTGTTAATTAATATTAATTAGCATCTTAGCAACTATTATCATGAAGGATAATTTGGGGGATATTGTCATGTTGCTAAGATATATTTACAGTTTGTGCCAACAATAGCAAGTGTAACATGCCAGCAAAACAAATCAAAATCACATGTGAAGGAGAGCATTAGTGATACCAGCAAACTTTTCTATTTGTATGGGAATCCAAACCATTTTAAAATGACAGAGATTTCCATTAGACTTCAGTGAATTCAAGTCAATAAATGAATGTCTATCACTGGTATTTACAACAATTTATAAAAGGTTTAATTTGCACTTTTTTTCTGATCCTTATTAAAGAAAATACATCAGGTTTATGCCCTGTGGCAAATTATTTTACTCATACCTACAATTTTGCACTTTTCTGTCTTTAATGTTTCATGGCGTTATTAAGCATATGTAGTTCCAACAAATCTCTAGTTCTGCATTCAGGCTAAAACTTGATCTACTGAGTTTTCAGAAGGGACTTTGTTTTGAAGGAGCAATAGAAATTACTTAAGAGGCAACATCTTGAAAAGCTAACTTTCCTAACTTATGCAGTTTAACAGAGTGAAAAAGGGATAAAGAAGACTTGCAGTGACAACAAAGATTAATGATTGACAGAGTAGCTTTTGCTTTTAACACTATTATTTCACTCTGAATGACCAAGTATAACTACTTTATTTACAATTCTTTACTTTTAATTATGGAACAATTATAGACTAAGTCAAACTTTGTGTTTAAGATCTGCCTCTCTCCACCAACCTCTCTCCACTATAATTTACAAAAAGAGACAACCTTTTATAACTCTGGAGCTGTACAAGACTCATGTTTTCCAGAACACAAAATACATTTATATTTATTTCACTCAGACTTGCAGGTTGCCAAAGATTCAAACTCTGGAAAACATCAACTAGTCACACAATGTATTCTTATGCACCAAGCCAAGGCAATGAAAAATAATGGATACAGGATACCTGAACACGATAGTATAAGCGTTCTTAAGCCACTCTTACTCAAGAGAGCATGATAGCCTCATTTTCCAAGATGAATTATCTCTAGTGAACTGTATGTAGCTATCACCATTGAGTAGTTAGCTGCTTTGTGTTAGGAGAAAGAGGAAAAAAAATCCACTCTTCACCATCAACAGTCTAATGGGAAAAAGGTTTGGAAATGTAGTAAGTCTGACATCAAACAACAATATGCCATCTCTACTGTTTCAATTCTTCCCCTTGCTACCCTTTCTTATGCCAAAGACAGCAGAAAATAAAAAAATTGAGAGAGAAAAGGATGCAAAATGGGTAGGTGCTTCAAGGCAGGAAATCACATTGTGATTAGGAGAGGATGGAAATACAAAGGGAAAAGTGGCAAAGCAGCAGAAGACAAATACCACTAGTAAACCTAATCTGGAATCAAATACAAACACTAAAATAAAATTCAGGTTTACCATACTGTTCACAGATTTTTATGATTTCCAGATTGGTCTGAAGTTTATCACGACAACAGGAGCTGCACCTAGGAACTGTTTCATCCAAATATTTGTCTCTGCCCACAACGGTCACAGGAGACAAACTGTGGAATCAGCCTAGTAGGCTCCAAACAGCATGACTTCAGTGTACATTGTGCCTCAGACTCCCCAAAACCGTCTGTTTTTGTAGCTCTTCCAAAGTATTAACAAGCAAAATCAGTCTGGCCCTGCTTTATGGGACCAGGCTTTTAATTTTAAAGAGCCTTGAGAGCTCTAAGGGAAGGATAAGCCTTCTACAAATGTAAGAATAGGAACATAATTTTTTATTGATTTAAGGCCACATATTTAATCAGTTCTGGTGCTCCAAGTAGACCAAGTATTTATCTCAATAGACCATGTGTTTATCTCAAAAGCGAGATAAACACAACTTTAACACCATGCCTTGAAATGCAGGAAAAAAAAATATTATCTAGCAAATACTATGTATAAAGATTCTTTTTAACATATCACACCAAAGGACTACACTACATAATTGATAAAATATTAAGAAAAAAACTCTTACTGTTCTGGTTTGTCCAGAAGCTTCAGTTCTTCCTCTTTTGAAGTCTGATAATATTGCTTGATTTTCTCCAGTTCATCTTTTTGTGCTCTCTGAGTGAATAAAGTAATTAATAACATATATGTATATATTTTTAATAAAAAATATTGCTTTACCTGTTGTCTTCAAATAATTATATACTTAGATGGACATATTTAGATTATCCAAGAGTGACCTAGCACTGATCTAGCATGACAATTTCCTTCACTGCATTGCAGTTCCATTTACTACGATGTTCATAAAGCAAGGCATCCTTGTAGGGCATGGCACTGCAAATATTGGTATAGGATGCTTCAAAGCATTTAGATCATAGAGGTAGCTCTGATATTTCTACAGCCAACTATAAACATATTTTTGTATGAAACTTCAGCATCACACAGTCTAAATTAAAGAATGCTGTCTGCAAAGCAACTTAGGTAAGGATGGCAACGCACTAGCCTGAGTTCACTGCTTTATCCACTTATATCTTGGATGAGGAAAATTCAGCATGTTAGCACACAACATGCCTTTAATAAGACAAGTATTTTTCAGGCAGTTCAGAAGAGAACATTGCTAGATGTTTCTTCTTCTGTTAATTGTTACATCACTTACTGTTACATCATTTTAGCCTGATTCCAAAGGCATGTCGATGTTTTAAACTTCTGACTTTTAAGCCAGTCAGAGAAATACGCATCTCAATGGTATCTTTTGATGTCACCTATTTTATTATTGTTAAATTCCTTAAATATTTTTTCTACATAATGTCTCTAGTTTTAAATGACAAGATAAAATAAAACTTTACTTATTGAACATCTGAAATTCTGAATGCTATGGTGATTAAGCACAGATGTATCCCAACTTACTTACATTCTCATAAAGCGCTTCCAGTGTTTCCAGGTCTACTACAGAGTCATCAACACACAGAATAGCTGTATAGGATACAGTCACAAATTAGTTGTTAGAAAACAAACCGTGAGTTCAATTCTGTTTCTTGGGAAACATATGGAAGAGATCTGCCCTTAATACATTAAAAAATGTATTTACATCCAATTAGTATTTTCTATTTTCAACATCTTATTTTTCTGAATATATGGCAGCAATCATGCAAGAACTTATAAACTCTATCTCAGGAGAATGGAGTTCTACTCTCCAGTATATTCAGCAGTCAATGATATGACCTGCCAGGTGGTCAACTTTCTGTGTAGCTGCCAGCCTGAAGAACATGAGAACACGGTATACCAGACAATGAATAGCACAGATTTCGCAATAGCTTAGAAGGCTGAATAGGAAGAAATTGATAGTTAGGGCATTTAAAGTATCCCTGTGTGCATGGGAGTTCAGGGAGATACAAAACTGAGATCAGTTTGTCTTGGAGCTACCAATCTTGGGAATCTGGTAGACAAACTTGCAAAAAAATAAAGTTGTTAAAGATTTTTAAGGTATCTTCACAAAGAAGTTTGCAATTGAGTTAGCTTTATCCACTAGAAAACTACCCACAAGAAAATTTCCAGATAAAGACTTCTAAATCTCACACAGACACCATAAGTATATTTTTCAATGATTAATTATTGCTTGTTACCAAAAATGAAGTCTCAAAATGTTTCCTAGCTTAGTTCCAAATGTTACTACATTTGGATTATACAGTATTATGTGTTTCCAACACTTGAAAATCCCATTAAAATTTAGGCAGTGTATTGGTTCATCTCTCTTTCTAATGCTCTGTAAGTCCAGCAAGCTAAGAGATGCACAATGGCAGATGAATAACTTGGATGTTTAATTTTTCTAGAACACTATTTTATCAAGATTACTAATGGGATCGGGCTCAATTTCCCAACTACTGACTTATGTTTAAGTGTTATTGGGAACACTAATCCTAAAAGAATCAAGATTAAGGCCTCTACCAGTTTCCCACATAACCAGTGAATCACCCTGTTACTAGTACTTGATAACTTTTAATTTCAATTGGATTATATTCATTCAAAGGAAACTTGACTACTAGTGAATTTAGAAGATTTTAAAAGCTTTTGCTGTATTTGTGATCCAAGCTTGAAAGAGGCAAGTAACACATCTTTAAATAATTATTTAAAAGTAATAAGCTTTCGCCTGCTCTTCCACCTTCCCCACGATTTTACATTGTGATATTAACCAGCAGGCTAGTAAATTTTCTCTGTGGCAGGGTAATTAATTTTATTAAAAGGTCCAATGACATTTAGAATGCTTTAAAATTTTGCTTGTCAATTATGATTCAATCTGTTGACATTACACCTGGCTTAGAAGTAAAGAACTATATTGAAGAAGACAATATCAGTGAAAAAAAAAAAAACAAACAAAAAACAATGTCTACAGCTATTTTGTCTTATTTCAAATATTCAAAAACTCCCAAGAGTGTAACCAAATATAAAACCCCACCTATCGAGCTAGACAAAATTCTGTTTTTAAAGAAAAATCCTTAGGAATTGAATCTATGAGACCATCTGTTGACTCTAGCAAGACTGTTTCATGAACTGCGTTATATTTTGCATTATCCAGTGAAATTTCAAAAAACCCTTAGTGATTAGAAAAGCTACTGGAAAATTGTTTTCATAGTCTAATATGTTTAACATAATGATTTTTACATATGCATATTTAGTTCAAAAATTTTCCCTTGTGCTTTCACTTCCACCCTATTTTGGAATAGTCTGAAATCTGCTTATGAAGAAAAAAAATTAGTCCATAGTTGTTTAGAAAAACAACTTATAGGAAGTAATTTTAACTCTTACTAGAAATGCAAATCACATAACAAATAGTTGATCTTTTAAAGAATAGAACTATTAGAATGAGAGCAAGGATTTTGAAAAAAGAACACATTAACAAGAATATCAATGTTTGTACATATAACTGTGACAAAGATGGTGCCAAAATCACAAGGTGTTTTTTTAATGCCGAATGCTCGGTAGTTAAAAACTTTTCTGTACTTAACAACAGCCCTAAGAAAAAAAGCATTGGTTTCAAGTAACATGATAAATATTCCCTATGCCAAAATGTTTGAGATTAATAAAACACAATATGAGCTGTTAACAAATTTTAAACAGAATTAATAATAATCAGTGTTAAGAGACATTAATATGAATTATTTTATCTTTTGGGGCAACTGTCTGTTTCAATGGAAGTACGAAGAAAATATTTTCTGGCCTACTTGATATACAACCTGTCCTGCTGTTATTGGTAATGTCCACGCAGACAGGGCGCAATTAAAATCTAGCCACATTTCTCAATTCAACGACAGAATGACATCTTAGGATGTTAGCATATGTAGAGACACACTTTCAAAAAACCAGAAGTACTGCCAAAATTGACAGCAGATTCCTTTGATTCGTTTTATGTACTTTATAACTTTTTGTTTTTCCTTCTATATTTTTTCATTCAAACTGATCAAACTTAATGCCATGCACATTTGGAGCAGAAGACAAAAATGAAAACATATAGAATTACAAAAATTGGCCATTTATTTTTCTTCTTTCTCCTTTTTTTTTTTAATTAAAAAAAAAAAAAAAAAGAAACATTGATTTTAAAAGCTGGAAGAAATCCCCAAATTCACAGGTGTCTCAGTATTCTTCATATTCTTCCTAAAATACAGCATGTGCAATAAGTTCACAGTATGTTGTTGTGTAAATTAACTTGAGTCGGGGCAGCTGAAAAAAAAATTTCTCTAGATCAAAGAAACTAATTACTTTACTTTTTCCTTAGAGCTGCAAGGAACTAAACCTTTTCAATTTGTTTTGTTACAAACAAAGGAAAGCTTTATTCTTATGTATTTTAACATTAATAAAATTAATAAGAGCTTTGATGTTTTTCAAAATGCTATTCCAGATACAGTGAATTTAGCCACAATTCTTTAATGCATTGAATTTCATTATATCAAGACTCACATAAGTGTAAGTAATATAGGTGAAGTGTCATAAATCTACAAAAGAGGCTCCAAAACAATTAATAGCTATTACAATATCAATCATCATTGGTGGGTTTTACTTTTATCTTGCTTTCTAGTTAGCTGTCTTCCTTACACTGTCAGTTCAGTTAGAATATTTCACCTACACCTCACAATGTTGAAAGGAAGTAGACTCATGCTGTGAAAAGCTGGTAATTTTATTGGGTTCCTCTACCTTTAAAAAATCTGTTACTTGGCCAAGTCTGGTTTCTGAGATCCTTTTTTGCAGGGAAATTGAGGCAAACATTTTTATGTGGCCTATGGTGTCTGCTCACAACAAGAAGAATTTATATACACAAGGATCATTAGTGCAGGGTTGCACCCATTAGGATATAATAACCGTCAGCTAGGACAAAAAACAGATCAGCATCATGCATTCAAACTAACAGGCACATAAAAATACTTGCCAACTACATTTCACATGCTAAGAGTAATGCTTCAAATATAAACTTTTACCAAAGGTTTTTAACAGACTCTTTTTAAAAATGAATCTAACTGTAAAAAACAGATTCCCTACTGGCACAGATTTTTCACATGCTCTATTTTATCGCTTTAAAAATGTAAACCAAAGAGAAGCCGAGAATTTAAAGTATACTGTCTGCAGTCTACATACAACTGTAGAGCTTAAAGGTTAAATATGAAAAAGACAGTTCTTTCTTCTTAACTTGCCTAAATACCAAAAGTCTTAAGGCTGACTCTGATATACAGCCTCACTCCTACTAACCACATTTTGGTTAAATCAGGATTTAAGTCCTGACGACAGAGCTTACATATATGCAACAGTATCACGCCACTTAATGTGACAATTAAACTATGAAATATGAAGAAATTATCTTAACTGCTCCTTCATGATAAAACAGAAATATTTTATTTAAATAAAAAGAGCTTGCAAAAGTTGCATTCATTTGGCCTGAAAGTACTTGATTTCTTTTATGTGTTATATTCTTCTGAGTAAGGAGAACCACGAGTATCATGAGAACATGAAGCTCATCACCATGAAATGCAAATGAAACTGTGACTGATGTAGTCAACTGGGAAGACACTGTGATTGTTAAATACAAATCCCTACTTGACAAAACCACCTAAAGTACCCAAATTGCTCTGGTTAACTTCTGAAAAATTGATCTGATGATTTGAACTTATTTAAGGGTTTTCTCCAGTGTTTAGCAATCACACAATACAAAAACTTTAAGATATACAATACTAAGAAGCAACATATGCACAATGTAGGTTTAGAAGACTAGGAAAGATCATCTGCTGCAAGAAGACATGAACAAAAGACTCTGGCAACCAACACTAGACTGGATGCCCAAGGCAGACGTACAAAAACATATGTTGTGAATTTTACAGAACAAAGAAAGTAACTCTTAAGGAAATTGCTTTCCAGCTTCTGAGATGGGTATACAGCTATCTCTGTACTTCATCTGTAGTATGCAGAATGCACAGAATGCATATGCATAATATTCTGTATAGATGGAAAAGTCAAACAATTTCAGAACAACAGTTGTAACTTTTACCTCTGCTTCCATTCCTCAAAATATTTTAGTTGAAAATCCTTAACACTCTTTTCATATAGTGAAAGTAAGAAATATTCCAAAACACTTTATCCAAAAGTATTACTAAAATACAATACAGAATAGAATTGTGAAATTATTTGTGCCACATGATATGGTTGAAACACAAGCTGGGATTTAGAAATTCTGAGCCCACTAAGGTTTGCAGATTAGAGTTGCTTTGGAATACCTTCCATTATTATTAAGACATAGGTTCTTGGGTGTTAAGACAAGTGCCTAGTTAAAAATGATACTGTTCTCTATGCAGCCTATTTATATAACTCGTATAGCCTCTCATTAGAGGAAGACCACACAGAAATGACAGAATGATTAGAAACATGATATATAATTTGAATGGTTATTGAACTGGTCATCAGTGTGGGTGAGTTAAGCTGCTGTTCACATTCTTCCAATTATTTGCTCCAATATGTTGACAATGGAGGGTAAATCACAAATCAAGTTGGAGAAGACCAATCAAACACTTTTCTAATTGGTTGGCTGCCATTGCACAATAGTATTATAAGTGTTCTTTCTAGAAAGTCAGATTGTCTCCTCCCACAATACAAAGCAATTTTTTAAATGTAGATTGGCATGATAGCCATTTGCATTGTCCATCATCAGAATATCATTACTGTGATACTAGTCCCCTAATAAATCTTTTCCACATGAAGGTGAATCTACAAAAGCAGATGGCACGACCCATGTTTTGTAACAAAATCAATTTTAATTCATCCCATCTAAGTATGATCTAAGTTCTTTATTATCTTCAAAGCTTAATGTGCCTCTGCATACATAGCTTGCATTTTTGGTAAACAAAAGAATGCTTCAAATGCACAATGAACATACTAGGTCCCCATACATGCTATTACAGGTTGGCCAGTACTGTTCAGATTTAATAAATGGAGTATTACACATTACATTTAATCACCCAAAGTCTAGGAAATAATATATATGTAATATATATATAATTAGCATTAGAAATAGTCTTAATGCCAAGGATCACCATTCAGCTCTCTCCTTTGCCATACAAGCTAAGTTCTGACAGCATTACAGCACTATCCTGTGTTGAACACTTGCCTGGGTAACTGTGTTAGCACAGTCTGCAGCTGTTCTGCATGGAGTAATGCGGTACTTCATTGCCACAGAGTGCAATAAGCTATAAAGTGTGCATCTGGTGTGATCTACCACATCTCATAGATCTGGTCCCAAAGAAAATATTCCAGTATGTGAGAAGACCTAGTTCTCACATCTAGTCATCCTGATAGAAATAGGAGGTATTAGACAAGGAGTTATTTCCAGCAACATACCAAAGCAGAACTTCTTGTGCCTCACAATTTTAAGTGGCAAAATGCAGGCACTATGGCAGTAGGCAACGACTTGGGAGAATCACTCTTTTGGACACAGGCATCTATATTTTATCTACATCTTACCTTCTGTAACTAAAACTATTCTTCATCTGAGCTTTCCCAAAATTTTGTATGTTTACTCTCAAAGATCTCAGTACCTCATGGGAAGCCAGTCCAGATGACCTAAACTACAAACAATATTATTATTATTCGCTTTCTAGTCCACTGCTATGGCTAGCTCTCTAAAGGAAACTGCCTGAGTGACTGGAATGATGGCCAGTAAGCTGTTGGGACCAGTGCCCACAGAGGGTCTTTGCATATACTTATAACCAGCATTTCCCATTAGTTACAGAACTGAATCTCCTCACTATGGATGAGTTGTAATATTTTAACAACAAAACCACACAAGTAGTCTTGAGCCACAAGTTTGTCTCAAGCTGTAATGTTTCAGCTGAACAATGACAGAAGAAAGACGGAAGCACACTCATGAAAAAGAATTTACTTCTTTAATTCTGCAGTGTTAACAGCATGTTCCTTATCTCACAGCTGATTTCCACTATTCCTCATCCCTTCCTGTGTAAATGTTAATTAAAAAAAAAAAAACAAAAACAAACAAACAAACAAACAAAAAATAACAGTGAAAATGACTTGAAAATAATCTCAAACCTATGCACAATTTACCTCTATTTGATTTTTAAGTATATATACAGGTTCTATATAGCATACTGAGACAGACATATTCTGTCCACTTCTGCTCAGGAAATTAATATTATTAATAGTGGTCTAACTAGAAACTGTATTACCCTCTTCAGTACTAAATTCACCAGTAGCATTTGTTACTGTTCTCAGAATATTACAGCACTTAGGATCTCTCCCACCTTCCAAAAAGCTGAGCATCAGGACAGGTGCAGAATGACAATATAAACTTTCCGTATTCGTCATATAAGTGTCAATACTACACAAAATGTTTATTTTTACCCTGCCATCTCCCTAGACTGTGCCCAGATGCAGGAAGAATTTAAATGTATCTGTTAAAGGATGAACTCTCTCAAACGAACATGTGCAGGAGATTCCCTTCCTAAAGTGTGGCAGCTGGCTCATTATCAAATGCAAGCTGAAACATCTGGGTGCCAGATATGGTCGTTTATTTGTTTTGCACTGCTGAGTTATCTAAAGAATATGTTGTGAAGCTATTTACTTTAGCTTGAGAGGGTAATCCTACAGATGTAGAAATCTCACAGTATCTTAGAGAAGTGTGTAATTTTGGGGGGGATTATTGTTGTTTTCTCTACAATTGTCTACTTTTTTGCATACCTCTCTATGCATATGACAATTCTTCACAGAAGTAATTTGGGGATAGTTTTTCTATACCTACAACTGACATTTAAGATAGAGTAACAATGCATGGACAGTAAATTCATTTGTTTATGACTTTTCAAGAAATACAGTCAGAACAACTTGAAATAAAATTATATGCCCTATTTTTCATTTCAATTTTCTTTTCCTACAAGTTTATTCATTCTCTGTTGCAAGCTGACAAAGACAGTTAACTTTTCTCTTCCTCATCTTTCAAATACTGAATTATGCAATGGAAAGTGGCTTGAAAAAATGAATGAGTGTTTAATTTTTATTTTTCTCAGAAGTAACTCTTTGTAACTCTACTTTCTAAAACAAACAAACAAAATAAAAAAAAGACTTTGACCTTCAGCATCAAATGCATGAAATGATCATACTCTTTTTTGGTTAAATGTTGTCATGAGCTATTTAGCTTATTATGATCTTTCTGGTCATTGACTACAGCAGCCCTTAAAGTCTGCTGAAAGGCAGGACTCCACACATTTTTAAATTAAACAAAAAATAGGGAAAAAATACACTATATGTATGCATAACTATTTTTTTTTAAGTAGTTATGCAAGCATAACTACTTTTGTCCTCATTATAGTATGCATTTCTAGTAGGCCCTTCTATAATACAGATGTTTTCCGCGAGTCTGGTGAACTATTTATTTTTCTTGGGTTTTCTTTTTTTTTTTTTTTTTTTTTTCCCAAATAGAATATACACACAGATCTTGATTAGAATCACTCATACTGTTTTGAAATTTATTTAAAAAAAAAAAAAGTTCCCCTAAAAAAAAAACAACAAAACACAGTATTCCCAAATTCCGCTTGTATCACCTAGCTGCTTCCAAAAGCAAGTGACAGCATATCCTATTGCTGCCTTGAGCAACACATGTGGTGACAGGCCAGTCATTTGCTACCTCTCAGAACAGAGCAGGCGATGAGTTACAAACTTGCCTCAGTGACAGGACACTTGCTTTGGCGTCCCTCTTCTACTAACACTAATTTTCATTAAACTTGTAGGACTACATTAACACTGTCCACAAACTGCAAGCAGTGTAGTCCTGTAGACCTGCAGATGGTACTGGGGATGCAGTATTCATGCTATACATATTTCAGGGAGTTTTACTTTAAACTAGCTCATCTGATACTGTGGACTTTAAAGACTGCTATAGGTGAAGACTGCTGGTGTGCTCCCTGAACAGAAAGTCCAGTTTAATTTAATTCCAAAGAATATTTGTGCACTCAGACTGCACACAGCTAAGGGGAAAACTGGTAGATTTGCTTCAACAGTACACTGCTAATTCAAACTAAAATACTAGTGTACACACATTCAAATACTTTGAACACTTCTCTCTCAAATTTGGGATAAACTGGTCAAAGGGTTTCAAAGGGTGTAGAAGTACAGCAAACAACTGAGATAGAAATAGATATGCTGCAGTCATATATGCCTTATTTTAGTAGAACATCACAGCATAGAAAATAAAAAGTACCTCTGCAGAAACTTAATAATACTACTCATTTTTTATATTACAGCTGCTATCCTATCCTATGCTGTTATAATTCCTGCCAGTAAATTATTCACATCTTCAATAATAACAGTTTTTTTCCCATCTCATTCTGATACCTTTCACACAATACTGGCAGGCACAAAGTTGTTCCTTCTTCTTTCTCTCCACCCCAAGAGCCATCTGTAAACCCTTGTGCTTTTAAAGTGTTAGATGCTCAAAGGCTCTTCTGAAATTAATAATAATCAATGCCAGCAGCATCTCAACACCCTACCCAGCATTTTCATGTGATGGAGGGAAAACAATAGCAAAAAGGAGACATCAACTTGAATTCTTCCAGCAGTTGTTTTAAATGGTGAATATTTTCCTTTTTTTAATGTGAAAAAGAAATAAACAATATCCTTAAACAATATCTTTTTAAATCCAGAACATAAGCAGAATCTGAATTACCCCAGGGTTCTGAAAAATCTTTATTTCTCTACAGTTGCATTGGCAAACTCAGATAATTTCTACCAGTAATGGAATTTATACACTGAGTAGCCCCATGCTTTGAAAAATGCCATCCAGTAATCATCTTCTTGTTACATGGTAGCTGCATCAGTTTTGGATGTGCATTTCATGCTGTTAGCAAAGAAGAATTTAAATATTCAACAAATAACAACTGCATGTTTGAAACCCTAAAGACTTACATACGAGACCTCTGATTAATTTTTGTCAGTGTGGAACTTGCTTTGGCAAAAGGAAGGAACCACAGGGGAGGAAAAGGAATATGAAAACATTTTGAGAAAACACTGTTTTCTCAAAAGTGATTGGTGAGCTGAAAAGGTACAGGAGTTGTACCAAAATTTGTTTCTGATTATTTAGATGAAGCTTTTACATATACTGGAATATACTGGAAGAATAATTCTTAAGATATCATAAAGAGAATCATACTTAAAGCAAATGCTGTAAGAAATTCTCTAAGTGGTCCTATGAGAAAATCATCGTGTAAATAGTTCTGAAACATTTACCTTGTTGAATATCCTTCATCTCCAGGTGTAAACTGGATATTAAAATTCCTACAGTTTGAGATCGTTTTCCATCCAACAATTTGATAATCTAGAAAGATAATTCAATAATGAGATCAACATGAGATCAAATGAACATTCTGCAAAGTCTTCATTCACATAAATGACAGAAACTAATCTGTGAGTTGAACTCAATGTTTCTACAAACATTTTTATTAAATAAAGGAAGTAGTAGGGTCTTTATACTGATGCTCTGCATCTTAATGGCTGATAAAGATGAATGGCTGAATGGCTGATAAACATAAGCTTGAATTCTGACCACTGGTAAACACCATCAGCTCTTATTTGCAGGATGCTATTAAGAGGTAAAACGAAAAACACACCAAATCTTTATTCTGTTACATAATTTTTATGTCTTCCCCTTAAGCTGATCAGGGCAAAACTCCGTGAGATACTCTGAGTACAACATAAATTCCTTAGTTTGTCTGAGAGTTGATCTTTCAGTGTGAACACATGTAACTCTTTTTGACAGAGGTTCACTTCTTGACCAATTGGAGAAATTTCTTGTGTACTTCTAACACTCTCTGGAACAGCAGAGGTTATTAAAATGATTCCTTTCACTTTTGCCTGATTCTGCTTCTTCCCCGCCTTTGATACTGCAAATGGATTTGAGGATTTTGTTCATATTTTGGGTAACAGACTCTTGTTAGTATAATACACCAATTTTTAAATTGTAATTTTTCACATGTCTGGTGCAGGGAAGAGACAGAAATAGAGAGGGAAACCTTGAAGAAGTTATGCTGATTAACCTGTCAATTTAAATTAACTGAACTTATGTTTATCAATCCATAAATAAAGTAACATAAGGTAAACTACCAGGATTTTAGAATGTAGTTCAGACGTTAGAAGAGAGAGATTCAATATGTGAAACTTGTATTCAGAACCAAACTTCCCACAATGTCTGGACTGTTTGTATTTGCAATTTTGATTTACATCATAAGGGGATATACGACAGCAGCACATCACAGAATGCAACACAGATGCAAAGTTTTTCAAAATACAAAAAAAAAAATGTTAAGATCTAAGTAGTTGGCTTAAATTATAGTGCTGAACAAATATTATAAACAACAATAAATCACATGTAAAATTAAAACTAAGCTTTTTTTTCTAAATTTATGCATCTAAATATAATTTTAATATTTGAATTATATTAATATTTGTATATTTAATAATATTCAAAACTATAAGCTGTTGTTTTCCCTGGAATATTCTTATAGATGCTCACATTACAGATATTTAAATGATAAACTTATACCAACTTATAAAAATATTTCTTGCTTGTGTTTAGGAATATTTAATTGTGCAACTACACAGTAATTCACCTATATAAAAGTGGAGTTGTAGTTGAAAAATACAGGCAAAAGAGAAGCAATAGTGACATTTTCACCTGAAAAACTGCAGTTAGTTACTACTACTTGTAGAGTGCTAAAATTGGACAATACATGAACAAGTACAAGTACATGCCACCTTCAACAAGATCAGCAAATATATGACAATAAAGATCTGACTTTATGTCCCTGTCATACATACTCAAAATTAAATAAATTTATGTTAAACTAGATGTTGCTATTTTCTGCCAAAACTGGGAATAAAATCTATCCTGAGAGTTTTTTCAATTTACAGGTATAGTACCTATATGGTAGGAAATTTACAGGTATAAGTATAGTACCTTGACTTAGGAAAGGAATACTATTTAAACTTTATTTAAAATATTTTCTTCAAACAATAAAGAATTAAGGCTCTTAACCTCCTGAGTACACAACCAGACAAGATGATTTGGCTAAAACTTACCAGAAGTTAATACTCCCTAGGCATCACATCCGGTTATCAGTGTTTTTTTCAGAGCAAACTGCTCAGTTCAGTATGGTCATTTCTGAAGCTCTACATGAATTTGCTGAACTCCCCAGCACATTAACTTCTTACAGGGATAATTACAGGCTTGAGTAATATGCAATTTGTATAGCATTCTCTGACCTTCAGGTTGACCTTGTTCAGGGGCAAATTCATAGGTTGTCATAAACCCCATTAGACATGCCTAGTTTGAGGCAAAACCTTTCCAGACTATAGTTGTTATAGATAATACAACATTTCAAAATATTCTACTATTTTTACATGCTAAAACATCCTCTAAATATGATCAAACTAGCTTCCATTCCTAAGTAAGGCTTTCACCTTAAAAGGCTAGAAAAATACATTTAAAGAATAGCTTGTATGATTTTAAAAGCTAGAACAGAGATTCATGTTTTAAAATGCCTGACCAACTGTATGTTAACATGCATTTTAGACAAATGTACACATGGTCACAATTACCAGACATCAAACTAGACTCAGATTACCTGAAATAGTTTCAGTGAAGTGAAATCTATAATTGAAGGCTAATATTTTATTCATTATAGAGCAAAAATGGGACAATAAGACAACAGAATAGCTCAAATTGGTCATAAAACTATTCTAAAACACAGTAGTAATACGGAAGAATTACTTAGGGCTTTTGTTACAGGTTTTAAAACCAATGTGCAACTTGAAAGATTTTACAACAAAAATATAAGATCAGGGCTAAAACAGAGAACATGTTTTCCAAGATACTCATTTTTCTCCCAAATAATGCTTATTTTGGGGAAATCACTGACAGAGAATTAAATGTGTGTATGAATTCTGAACGGAAAGGAGATACAAAAAATTTTCTAGTTCATAAAAACCGTAAGGGAAATAAAAGTTTGTAAAGACTGCATTGAACTATTTAGTCTATGCTTTTAAAAGACAAATCACTGATCACCTCTCAGCATATTGGGACTTGCTTTTCGCTGGCAGTGACAGGTAAGAAGCTAAAATCCAGCTGACGCCAGTTGATGTTGCTATGCCAGCTGGCAGGGTTTGCCAGCTGCCTGCTGCTCCTCCAGACTATGAATGTATCATTGTAATGGATGCAGCATCTACTGGCTCAGTAACAAAGCAGTGATTGCTAATGCTAATGTATTTAATTCACTGATCCATAACATTATTTGCTCGACATGGTGTTCTCTGTTATTTTAACGTTATTTCATTGATTTGCTGTAAACAAGTGCCTCTTCTATCTTTCAAATATTTATCATATAACTTAAAAGAAGAGACATACTGAAGCTCAAATACATTCATAAATTCTTCTGTCATTGCCATTAAAAGGTGTTTCTCTAATGTAGCCAGAAATGTATTTCATTAAATATTGCATGTCAGACTTCACTGTTTTGTCTAACTGCAATGTCTACATTCTGTCCAGGACACTTACTGGTGCTGAAATCTGAACAGATTCAGTTTACTTTAGTGATTAAAAGCTAAATCCTTCCTCCTGCTGGTGCATGGATTCTTTCCATTATATTTAAATTTATGGAGAGAAACTATAAGCTAAAAGGCTGTCCTGTATATTGGAGTATTTCCCTACATTCCCACTCATTAACTTTTATAGTGAAGTCAACAACATGGACCCATAAGTAGTCTGCCGAAACCCTGTTGAAACAGAAGAGGAATATCCTGCTCAAGAAGCAAGTAAGCATGCCCCACAGGCCATTCTACATAAACACCCCAAGACTACCAATGAAATTTTGGAAGCTTAATGCTATACATTATCTCTTCTATACCTTCTCAAAGGAGAATGAGATTCAACCATTTTTTATTTACTTAACCTGGCTGAACAGTTTTGTATTTTATCCACGTTCTTAATATTTTAGGAGACATGTATTTCTAACTGCAATTCTATTGGATGAAGAAAAAACTATTTTTTAGCTTTCCTTTCTAAAGGACAAGCAAGTGGCAACATTTCCAGATAAAATAAGAGGTAAGAAATCTAGTAGATCTGATAGTAATTTCTATCAAAACCACATGGATAAAACAAAGCCACAAAATAGATATTTACCCTTTATGGATACCTTCCCCATCCTACATGACTGCAGAGCTTGTGGCAAATAAGGAAATGCTGTATTCATTCTTCTCAGCACAGCACAAAAAATAAAAGAAAGTGAGAGTGCCTCGGAAGAGCACGCACTAGCATTTTACTACTTTTACTCAAGTTTGAACACTGTTTATTATCTTATGCAGACAGCTGAAGACAGTCATTGTGTTTCAACCCTGCAAAGCTTCCAACATTTTCTGCAGTATCTGCTCTTCTTGCAGAAACACAAAATTCATTAATCGTAATTCCTCATTTAGTTAGATGGACAAAAAACTTGCTGACAGACATATCCCTTTCAGTTAAAAAAATTCAATTCACTCAAAATATTGACACTCTTCTTAAATGAGAACACATGTTAATAATTATGTGAAGTCTGTTAGAGATAATAGACAACAGAGAAGCCATTATCTTTAATGTCCTCCTGTGTCTTTGAAATGATAATCATTGCACTAAAGGGCCAAAAATGATTGATGGACTTTCATTTGGAGCATACACCTGACACAAATTACATTTACTTTTTTGGTTTTGTTTTGTTTTGGCAAGAAGACGTCAGAGTGGCATCGTAAACATCCAACTATCCTGTTTCTTGAAAAAAGCATAGGAGGATAAGTTAGTCACAAGTCCTCAAATATACTGGAAAAAGAATGTCACTTCAGTAATGGAGCTACAGAATGCACATGGAATAAATCACAGAGAAGGAATGCTCTTTTCTAAATTACCTTTTTTTTTTTTTTCTTCTTTCTTTTTTTTTTTTCCCCCCAGGCTTACAGGGCATCATATCTTAATACATAATGGATCTTGCTTTTATTTCATTTGCAATTATATTTCCTAATTCCCCTTTTCTTCTGTTTGGTACTACAAGAACAGATTTTGATTCTGCAAATCTGACAGGAAAGGGAAGCCCTATGGCTTGAAAACAATTACATGTGCCTACCAGCTTAAAAATCTGCATGGACATGTACAGACAAGAAATATTACCAGTTTAGAATGAATGAAAACAAAATTATTTGCATGTAAAACTTCAGTGCTTCATCTGACATGAAAATGTCTATAGAAGATTTTCACAGTCGGGGAAAGACACTTCAAATTATACTCAAATCTGTTGA